TGATCAACTCCTTTGTTTTGTTGACGTTGAGTGAGAGGTTATTTTCCTGGCACCACTCTCCCAGGGCCCTCACCTCCTCCCTGTAGGCTGTCTCGTCATTGTTGGAAATCAGAACTACTACTGTTGTGTCATCTGCAAACTTGATGATTGAGTTGGAGGCGTGCATGGCCACGCAGTCATGGGTGAACAGGGAGTGCAGGAGGGGGCTGAGCATGCACACTTGTGGGGCCCCTGTGTTGAGGATCAGCAAAGTGGAGGTGTTGTTTCCTACCTTCACCACCTGGGGGCTAGCACTGTGCTTATGCACTTGGTGAAAGTGCGAGGGGCAAGCGAAAGGGCGAAGGGTAGAACGCAAAACTGAAAAACTAGTTTTTCTAAGGAAAATCTCATGTATTTTCTGTGTGCTGGTAGAATGGGGATATGAAAGGGTCCGTCTTTCAGGTCCACTGTGGTGAACCAATCACCTGGTTGTACTGACTGAAGGATGGTTTTGATTGGCAGAATTTTGAAGGGAACTGCTGAAAGATGATGATTCAGGCACCTTAGGTCCAGGATCGGACAGAGGCATTCGCCCTTTTTATGTTGTTGTGCTGGATCTACCTCTTCGATTGCATGCTTTTCCAGGAGCAAGGAGATTTCTGAGCAGAGTGTTTGAGTTTGAGCAGGGTTGTGAGCTGTTGTTTTCTAGACACCCCTGAAGCATGGGGGTCGCTGATAATATTGTATTGCATAGCCTTGTGTTAGTGTGCGTAACACCCATTTGTTGGCCGTTTACCTTTTCCAGCTGGAAAGGTGGTGCTCGAGGAAACGGTGATGCGCTAGATAGTTGGTCTCATCAGGATCGAGGCTCTGCGTGCTGTGGTGCAGAGGGGACGCGGCCTGCATATGGTGCACTTCTGCCTCTTGGGTGATGTTGCGATCCACATCTTCGGTAGGGCTGAGGGTGTCTGTTCCTCCAGTCCTGAGCAGCATTAGTGTGAACCTGGTTTATTGGCATCCCAGTTGAGACCCTGGGATGGGAGTAATGGTTTGCTGGCTGATGCATTCTAGGCTTTAGAATGAGGCGCTGAAGCTTCATCTGTGCTTCTCTGTCCTCCTTAGACACTTGGAGGAGGTGGGCCACTACTGGGCCAAATGTCTGGCCAGGTGATATGGGTACACCTAGGAGTGGAACCTTCTCTTTGTCAGGGAGCTTGGACTGTGCTAACCATAGGTGGCGCCGTGCAACACACTGTGTTGCCAAATATTTCCCAATCATCTGAGCAAGTCTGTAATTGTAGACAGTTAATTAATGGTCTCAGTATCATAGTTTGCGGAGAGGGGTTCTTGCAGCTCCTTCTGTTAAAAGGCCAGTACCGCTGCTGAGTTGCTAAGCCTAGAGGCTGAACCAGTGATGTCATGTGTCCTGCGTAGGAAGCGATCAGATGCCCTGCATCGTTTGTTAGGCAGTTCTTGGTCTGAACTGTGACGGAGAGAAGCAGGCAGAACAAGCGAAGCAAATTATTTATCCATATGGGGGAAATGTCCAAAACCATTCTCATCAGCACCATATACTGTAGCTAAGCGAGTGCATATGCTTGGCAGGGGTTCTGTCATTTGGCGTGCTCCAAGTGCATTGGAGCTCACGCACAAAGTCTTTGAACAACAGGATGGATGTCTCAGTCTTTGAAGAACTGAATAAAACGTGGATGTGGACGCCATGGCAGTAGGTGTATGTTCCACGTTGAGGTTCCTGCTTGCCTCAAAGATTTCAGACAAGGATATTTTCTGGTCGACCATCCAGGCCGGCAGACTGGGACTGGACGATGCTAGAGCTGTGGTACATAGCATCATCATCAGAGTGCTCATAGTCTGTGTCATAAGAGTCAGAGTGGGAGGCTTCGGATTCAACAACCATGCTCCGTTCAGAGGTAGGGGTTGGTTTGGTACCGGCGGGGGAAGCCTGGCCAGGATGTGCTCGAGGGCAGACTCAATGGTTGACAAACGACTGTCCAGTGACTTAATCTCCTTGCACATCTCAGTGTTTCGAGAACTTGTGTCCAGGCGAGGATGAACGATGGTGTTTATTGGGTGGTGGATCACGAAGGGAGTGAAACCCGTTTTTAGACCTGGAGCGATTGGAATGATCATTGATCTGTGTGGCAGACTCATTTGAAGAGAATCCGGAGGCTCCGCCCCCGAAGCACGCAAGTTGAGATTTCAATGCTCTTGGTTTGAATTTCTGACAGTGAGTGCAAGAGCTGCTACCCTGTGCAGCCATTTGAGCATGTTCAGCTCCCAGGCAAAGAACGCAAAGTGTGTGCTCATCTGAGGCTTGGAGTTGTTTTTCACACTGTTGACATGGGTGGAACGACATCCTGTGTACAGTACTGAATCAGTGTGCAAAGAATGGATTTTCACATAAGAGAAGTGTGTTCCAAGAAAAAAGTAACAAAAAATAGCTTTTGTTTTGGTGTGTTTCGATGTATGCTTCGATTGCCTCGGTATCGGCTTCAGAGGCTTTGAGAGAAAGTTATACTTATTATACTTATAAAGTTATACTGTCATGCTTCGGGGTCGAGACTCCCGCCAAAATATATATCAAGCTCCGGGCTTGAAACTCCTCCCTATATGAAGCTATCTGACTGGCATTGTCAAGCATAGACTGTCTGTCTCGGCGTTGGTGGACTCGGTCAAGTGAGGACCGGTAGCCTACAGGACCGCTGAGCTCCGTGATCACAGCAAAACTCCAAGATAGGGAGTGGTAATGCTGGATCAACGGACAGGTGTAGCAGTGAAGCAGAGACTTGCACGACACCACGGGTCAACAAGTGCCAACAACAGCTACAACAAGCTAACTAGCTACGGTAGCTATGTGTGGCTAATTTAGTTAGCTAGCTATGAGCTAACTTCTGAGGTAATGGGATAGACCCGAAGCTAGTGAACACACAAGGATGGAAATGCCCGACAAAAAGCAAAAAAGTTAGCTAGTATGGTCCGGCACAATAACGAGAGAGGGGGAGTAGATTAGATAAAAATCAACTACTCACGACACCTCCTCGAGTCGTTAAAGAATCATAATTCCTTAAGAAAGTAATCCGAAGAGGATTAATAGCAATCTCGTAATGTAAAACGCATAAACGTGAGAGTGCAGAAACGACAGTATGTCATGCCACAACGCCTTTTATAGTGACAGTTCATATGGGTACAGTAAGGGTGTGGCGTGACTGTAAACATCTTTGATATTAAGCATCTCAATCACATCGCATGAAGGGGAAGGAGTCCCCAGTGTGTCCTTTGTTCATGCTTGCCAACTAATGCCGAGCACTGCTGTCCTGCAGTAAGCAGAGGGAAGTAGTTAGATAGTGTGTCCAATATCAGGCCAGGGTGACAGCTAAAGCGCATTTTGTGATTTTCACGGAAAATGTACAACTACGGCATTAACGTCAACAATTTTGTAAATAAAAAATTGACAATTATTCGGATAAAAACTGAATGATTCTGAACACTCTCCCATGTCCCAACTTTGGCAGACAAGTTTCAAATTCTGGTTGAAGTTTCTAGCCACAAGCATAAACTAGCTAGCTGGGGAGGGCTCATTATGCTGATTGACTAAACTGACTGAACCAAATCCGTTCATACCCACTCAACTCTTGCTGTACGACATAGGTCATCAATTTTGGACACCATGCATGTCTGTACCACTGAGGTATAAGAACTGGATATAATAAGAACTGGAGACAAGATGTCAGACCATTTTCAAGGTAATCTACTCAGGTTTGGATACTAACATAAGCCGATTCATGGACCATCTATATCCGGGTTGCATCTGGTTTATACGACCAACATCACATGCACACTAGCACTCAGTGCACACAGGGAGCAGCAATGAAGTCATCACATCATCCAAAAACATGGCAGACATTGAACTAATACAACATTTTAATATCTGTGAGTGATGAAAAAAAAATCAGTCTCAGCGACAATTATATTAATAATTCAATTGATGTTTTGTGCACAAAGGTGATGACTAAAGTGTCTTATTAGGAATTTTCAAATCTGACTTCTCTATGTGGCCGTGTACGGAAATAGTCTTTCTGGGCCGGGCGTCAGTTAAACTGCAGTACCAAAGCAAAACTGTAGGAGCAGTCAACCAAACATTAGGGTGTTTTTGTTTGACCCACTCGAACGTGACCAAAGACATGACTGAAACGGAAACCAATTTAGCAGGGATACATACAAATTGGTGTGATATTTGATGCTGTATCTCACTCTCTCTATTGATAATGAACACACATATGATTTCAGTTTGTGAGTGTGTGATATGGGGGTTGGAGACATGTTTATTTCGACATTATAAAAAAAAACGTTTATAAACAATGGCAACTCTGCCATGTTGACCTGAGCCTTTCTGTTGGAAAACTACTTTAGTGTCAGACTTTCGGCTGTTGCAGATCACCTCCCGTCGACTTCACTCCTCGACTTTCGTCTACAGTCGGTTGCTTTAGACTTACCACTCAAACGAGCCCATTATTAGCGTTCAATGGAACGTCTCAACTGTAACAAAGAGACTATCCCATTATGGTGCATCTTCCTTCCTCTTAGATTCACTTCAAAGTAATTGAATGTTTTATGTTGGGTTATCAATTATCAATATCTTTGATCAAATTTAGCACAATAATGTCCTCTTAAAGATGTTTCATCAAAGATGGTTTAGAAACTCTGGTCACTGGTTTCACCTCCCTGCCTGCCCCTCTGCCTGGTAGTCATTCGTTACCACAGCCACAAAGTTATTTATACCATTTATCTTCTTAAAATCGGATTTTACAGCTAACTCGAACCTTAACCACACTGCTAACGTTATGCTTAACCCTAACCTTAAATTATGAGAAAAAATATCAATGTTGACTTTGTGGCTGTGCTAACTATTGGAAACCCCCTCCGTTCCCTTGACGACGTAAATTGTGTGATTCAAAAACAGTGACGTCACCACGCAATTCCCATGTTGCTTTGCGAATCCCAGTCGAGCGTTTGTTCGATTTGTTGGTCAAATAATTTGTCTCTGTCTGGGCTGGAGAATAAATACAATATATTTATTTTACAAAAAATATCGCCAAACAAACAATAATCTCGGACTCGGTGCATAACTGAGAGTCTTTGACGCTGCACGGTAGGTCAATCTGAAAAATAATGGTGTGATAAACAAGTTCGAACGTTTGGAGATAAACAATCACAATAGCTAACGTTAGCTAGATAGTGCTAACTTTTAGCCTAGTTCAGCGTGCTAATGGTAGTCTAGCTAGGATCAGTGGCTTAATCTAACGGTGTTTGAAAGTGGCGTTCATGTTGGCTCTCTTGTCTTGAACTACGTTAGTTAACTATTAATGCCTGGCTAGCTAACGTTAGCTTTATAGCTAGCTAGTGCAACGAGCACTCAGTTCTGACGACTAGTTAGCTAACGTTAGCTGTCTACAACATCGATTAGTATTTATTGAGCAGACTAGTAACGTTAGAGCTCTAATACGAAATTCCAAGAAATCCGCATATTTCCTCTGCTTCATCGGCTACTTACAAGATACATGAAAGTGACAAGCGTAACGTTAGTTATGGGATGGAAGTGATGTTCACACGTTCTGAGGCCTTCTGTCAATGGGCTTAGTTTACAGATAATGACATCAATAAACAATGCCAACAGGTTTTTTGATGATACTATATACACAACAAGCACGACAGAAGATAAATCGAGATTTAATGAACCAGCTGGTCAAGTCTCCACACAAAACGACCCAAATAGCTAGGTACAATTTCCAGAAATCAAAGCAATGCCATGAATCTGAGGTGTTGAGTTTATATACAGAACGCAGTATCATAGAGTTGTGGTTCCCAACCTTTTTTGGTTACTGTACCACCAACTGAATTTTGCTCTGCCCTGAGTACCGCTGAGGTCAAGTGAATTTTACCAGTAGGCCAAGTACCCCCTGTGGATAGGCCAAGTACCCCCAGGAGTCCTAGTACCCCTGGTTGGGAACCACTGTCAGAGAGGATCTGTGTGTGTTCAGATGACCAGTATGTTAGCTACAATGTTTGTGAATGTATGTCCATGCTGTATCTTTTCTGGGGTGAACCTACAGAATGAAACGTAAATAAACAGAACAAAACGAGGAGGGACCTACCTGCATTTGTCCGATAGAAACTCACATTTTTGTTGCAAAGCGTTTTGTTTTGCAACATGTTTGCTACAGTGTCCGAATAATGAGTAGGCCTACTACGTCCCTGTTGTAGGGCAGCAGGTAGTCTAGCGGTTAAGAGCATTGGGCTAGTAACCGAAAGGTTGCTGGTTCGAATCCGTGAGCCGGCTAGGTGAACAATCTGTAGATGTGCCCTTGAGCAAGGCACTTAAACCTAATTGCTCCTCTACGTTGCTCTGCATAAGAGTGCCCGCTAAATTACTGAACTATAAATGTGTTCCTTCGCAGACATGGACCAGGACTATGAGTGTCGGCTGCTCAGGCAGATTAACATCCAGAACGAGAACGCCAGCCCTTTAGTAAGTGCATAGACTTTATAAAAGGTATTGTCTGTACTGTGTATTATTCTGTATTGGCTTGTGTTGCACAATATCATTCTGTATTGAGATGGTATATGATGTTCTTATGTTGGCATCTTGCAAGCAAGACATCTTAGAATTTAAACCTCAAAGGATAAAGGTCTAAATGTATTTGTCTGAATTGGTTGGCACACTCAGCTGACAGCATAATGTTCAGGGATTTCAAGAGTGAGTTTTAGTTCAGTTGATGGGACATAGCGTACAGTCATCTATCCAGAGATACAAATCCCCTGAAAGTAGGTCAGGTGTACCAGTAGGCTGTACTAGAGAACCAGTTTGTGCACAATTTTTTTGCTAAACTGTATGAGACATGCAATTAGCCTAAGCAGAGAACACTGTCAGTTTTTGAAGTTGACAGCTACTGAACAAAGACTATATCGATTTTTTCAGATTAGCTTGACAATAGTCTGATACTGGCTCCTCCATTACATGTATAATAACAAAACTGCTTTGTGAAGACTAAAGAGGGTGTTTACCCATGTGTGACATGAGGGCTTTGCTGTCTATCACAGTGTGTGAAGTCTAAAAGCGGCGGTTTTATTCAAATAGTCGCTCTGTCAGATTCTCTGGTGTTTTGTCTGCATTTAAACCACCTCTCTGATTGACCCCTCCTGTTTACTTTACGTCAAGTTTTACCCCTCCCCTCTCCCTGTGGAAACCCATTAGAAAATAGGCCTAGGCTACATCTTAGAGTATTCCTTTCAATTGTATCTCTATTGAACACCTAATCTGTGATTCACGAAACCCCATTAATTAATTGTTTATCTCGCTTGGGCTTTGTGGATCTCATGCACTATTAATGTGCAATGATTGTGGTTTATGTCTGTCTTGTGGTTAAATTTTCCTCTCTGTGGACGAGTCCCCCTCTGACCCTATATCCCCTCTCTCTCCCAATGAAGAAGGCCATAGATGCAGTACGAGCGCTGACACCCACCAACTCCCCCCTGTCGTCACCAAGCAAACATGGCGACCGCTTCATCCCCTCCCGTGCCGGCGCCAACTGGAGCGTCAACTTCCACCGCATCAACGTGAGTCCCCCGCAATGCACCCTGGGATTATGTCTTGTGACCCATGTTTTACATCTGTTGTGTTGATTGTGTCACTTGCTGGGTTTCTGTTTTTTGTCACCCTGATAAAGGTTGTTGGAGCCGCACCGCGGCGGTGCGTTTTTTTTATTCTTGCTATGCATTAAACAATAAAGGCTTTTAAAATTGTTCCACTACATGAGAGTGCCTTGATTACTTCTGGAAGTTTGTTGGTTGCAAAGGCTTTTCCGGCATTGTTTACTATCCAGCATCAAATAGTTATTGTTCTATAGTATTTCATCCCATGATTAAAGAGCACCTCATGGATGAACTATAAACCAATGAAGCGCTCCTCTACTGTCTCTACATATTAATCACTGTTAATGTTGTTGTGTAGGAGAACGAGAAGTCTCTCAATCAGAACAGGAAGACAAAGGATGGTACAACAGACACTAGCAAAGGTAAGCCTCTTGACTCTTTAGAGCTTGTTGTATATATTGTGTTTCTGTAGTGTACATTCATTCTGTTTTACTCATTCATACTCATTAAAATCGAGATTAACATACCTCTCCCTCCCTGCTCTAGCGGACGGCCTGGCGTACTCTGCCCTACTGAAGAACGAGCTGCTGGGGGCGGGCATAGAGAAGGTCCAAGACCCCCAATCAGAGGACCGCCGCCTCCAGCCCTCCACCCCCGCCAAGAGGAGCCTCTTCAGTGTACTTAACATAGGCCCTTATACATTCTGGTGGAATAGCGTCTTTTTCAAAGCTACCAGGGGTAGTGTATTGTGTGTATGCTGCAGTTAGCCACTTTTGAATTTGTGTTAGTCGTACAACATGTTACCTTTGATACTAAATATGCCAGTTGTGTGTGTTTACAGTATTCTGTCAGTGCCAAGCGATCTCTACCCGAGGATGGCAACACAGTCTCTCCATACTCCCTGTCTCCTGTTAGCAGCAACAGGTAACATTTACATTTACATTTTAGTCATTTAGCAGACGCTCTTATCCAGAGCGACTTACAGGAGCAATTAGGGTTAAGTGCCTTGCTCAAGGGCACATTAACGTCATTTAGCAGACGCTCTTAGCCAGAGCGACTCACAAATTGGTGCGTTCACCCTATAGCCAGTGGGATAACCACTTTACAATTTGGGGCGGGGGGGGGGGGGGGGTGTTAGAAGGAATACTTTATCCTATGGTGAGTGACTCCGCTGTCCTGGCGTCGTGAGGGAGCTTGTTCCACCATTGGGGTGCCAGAGCAGCAAACAGTTTTGACTGGGCTGAGCGGGAGCTATGCTTCCGCAGAGGAAGGGGAGCCAGCAGGCCAGAGGTGGATGAACGCAATGCCCTCGTTTGGGTGTAGGGACTGATCAGAGCCTGAAGGTACAGAGGTGCCGTTCCCCTCACTGCTCCATAGGCAAGCACCATGGTCTTGTAGCGGATGCGAGCTTCAACTGGAAGCCAGTGGAGTGTGCGGAGGAGGGGGGTGACGTGAGAGAACTTGGGAAGGTTGAACACCAGACGGGCTGCGGCATTCTGGATGAGTTGTAGGGGTTTAATGGCACAGGCAGGGAGGCCAGCCAACAGCGAGTTGCAGTAGTCCAGACGGGAGATGACAAGTCCCTGGATTAGGACCTGTGCCGCTTCCTGTGTAAGGCAGGGTCGTACTCTCCGAATGTTGTAGAGCATGAACCTGCAGGAGCGGGTCACCGCCTTGATGTTGGCGGAGAACGACAGGGTGTTGTCCAGGGTCACGCCTAGGCTCTTCGCACTCTGGGAGGAGGACACAGCGGAGTTGTCAACCGTGATGGCGAGATCATGGAACGGGCAGTCCTTCCCCGGGAGGAAGAGCAGCTCCGTCTTGCCAGGGTTCAGCTTGAGGTGGTGATCCGTCATCCATACTGATATGTCTGCCAGACATGCAGAGATGCGATTCGCCACCTGGTTATCAGAAGGGGGAAAGGAGAAGATTAGTTGTGTATCGTCAGCGTAGCAATGATAGGAAAGGCCATGTGAGGATAACCACCACCTTCACTTACTCTTTGGTTTTATATTATATGGCAAACAGTGGTGTTCTAGCTCTCCTCTCCCTCTCATTCCATTATAATGATATTCCTCTGGGTTAAGAATGATTTTCTGTGTCACATTGAATCCATCTTGTCTCTTTGTGTCCCTCCTTGTAGTCAGAAGCTGTTACGGTCGCCAAGGAAACCCACGCGTAAGATCTCTAAGATCCCCTTCAAGGTGCTTGATGCTCCGGAGCTGCAGGATGACTTCTACCTCAACCTGGTGGACTGGTCCTCCCTCAACGTCCTCAGTGTCGGCCTGGGAACCTGCGTCTACCTCTGGAGCGCCTGCACCAGCCAGGTGTGTGTGTGTGTGTGTGTGTTACCACACTGAAATCAGTAACCACCTACTCGCTGTTAGAAACAGTCTACTATTTGACATTGTCTCCATTTATTGCGAAGGCCTCTCTCTGCGAGTTGGAAATTGACAATCTATCAATTGTGTATTTTGGTCTTTAGGTGACACGTCTGTGTGACCTGTCAGTGGAAGGGGGACTCTGTCACGTCAGTGGGCTGGTCAGAGAGGGTGAGTCTGTCATGTACACCCCTTATCCACAGTCCACCCTATATTCCTGGGGCTCTGTAGTCCTGTTTCTATCTATAGGTTTCAGGGGGTGGGATGGATATGCCCTGATACCATGTGGGTCCAATTATTGTACTCTTCTGTGTGTTTACTCTTCTGTGTGTGTGTGTGTGTGTGTGTGTGTGTGTGTGTGTGTGTGTGTGTGTGTGTGTGTGTGGTTTCTCCAGGGGAACTTAGTAGCAGTGGGGACTCATAAGGGCTATGTACAGATCTGGGATGCGGCAGCAGGGAAGAAGCTGTCTGTACTGGAGGGGCACACAGCCAGAGTGGGTGAGTAAGAGGAGACTGGCTGTCTTAGAGAGAAGACGAGACTGGCTGTCTTAGAGAGAAGAGGAGAGCTTCTCCTCAGAGACAGAGGAACGCTAGTGCTGCAACCATAGAATATCATTTCTAGTAATTCTATTGCTATGGCTTCATCATTAAATATTTATCCTTTAGTCAAAACAACTATGAAAACTGAGTGCATTTCAGCTGTTTTTATATTTTGTTGCTGAATCTTTTTCTCTAGGTGCGTTGGCGTGGAATGCCGACCAGTTGTCGTCTGGCAGTCGTGATAGGGTTATCCTGCAGAGAGACATCCGAGCCCCGCCCCTCCAGTCAGAACGCCGTCTCCAGGGACACCGACAGGAAGTCTGCGGCCTCAAGTGGAGCACAGACCACCAGCTACTGGCCTCAGGGGGAAACGACAACAAGGTACAGACAGCACAGACCACCAGCTTCTGATGTCAGTGGAATTAAAAGACAAACACAAATCTCTTGAATAACTACTGTACACTCCTGCTTTTATCCTTATCTTATGGCATTATCTTCCCAGGTAACTAACAATCCCTCTCCTCCCCATAGCTGCTGGTGTGGAACCACTCCAGTGTTCTCCCGGTGCAGCAGTACACGGAGCACCTGGCAGCAGTGAAGGCCATCGCCTGGTCCCCCCATCAGCATGGCCTGCTGGCGTCTGGAGGGGGCACGGCCGACCGCTGCATCCGTTTCTGGAACACCCTGACAGGCCAGCCCTTGCAGTGCACCGACACAGGCTCCCAGGTCTGCAACCTGGCTTGGTCCAAGCACACCAACGAACTGGTACGTAGTTAGGGGGTGGTTTTTGGTGTCATTCTGTGGGAAACATGAACAAAAATATGAAGTATGAAATGTGATATTTTCCAGACATGGATGGGCCCTTTTAAAGGAAATAATTTGGACTCCTAAACATTTGTAACTAAAATCCTTTTTACCTCCAGGTAAGCACACACGGCTACTCCCAGAACCAGATCTTGGTGTGGAAGTACCCCTCCCTCACACAGGTGGCCAAACTCACAGGCCACTCCTACAGAGTGCTCTACCTGGCAATGTCCCCAGACGGAGAGGCCATCGTCACAGGAGCCGGAGACGAGACACTGCGCTTCTGGAACGTCTTCAGCAAGATGAGGTCCACCAAGGTAGCCAGACACCTCATATTGATTGGGAACATAGATTTTTGTGCCGCCTGTGCCCCATATGAAGTCTACCTTTCAAATGATCTTATTACAATACCAACCCAATAAGCAAAACCACTGTCTCATTTGGGAAACTGATATAGAAGATTGTAGTGTTTTAGAGAACTGACCCCTGCTTTCTTCCTCTGCAGGAGTCTGTATCTGTTCTGAACCTGTTCACCAGGATCCGGTAGCCAGAGGGGCGCAGCTGTCCGACAGGGGAACAAGGAAGGGGTGAACCAGCCCAGAGGGAATACTGTACTACACACAACAATGCTGGATTCCATTCTGAAAAATAACTCCCTTCTCTCCAACCCCTTATCTCCTCCTAGGCCTCTGGTCGTCTAGGGTCCTTTCACACACCCAAGGCCAGGTCGTCATGCAGATAGAGGGGAGTCCATTTTTCAGAGTGGAATAAATCCACTGCCTCACCGCCCATCACAACCAGTGTGACATCACAAGGCCACACCCCCATACAGTACCATTGGTGCTTTCCCAGGAAGAGGAAAAAGAGGACGACTCTGTGACTTTCCTTTCCCCAAGTGATTCTGTTTTGTTGACAGACACTGTGCATACCTGCCAAATACAAAGTTTGTCCTATTATTGAATGTTTTATTTATTGTTTATCTTTTTTTAAACATTGTTATCACGTGTAGTCGCCAGTCTGCAGACTGTTTAGGTTTTGTTTTCTGTGTGTGTTAATGTTGCTTGTCGGACTCTTTGTGAAGAGCCTGAAGCTTTTGTGTGTGTGCCTGCCTTAAAGGGATAGTTCACATCTAAAATCAAACTGTCATGTTTTCACCTTTGAAGGTATAGAAATGTATGACATGCTTAGACTTCAGGGTGAGCTGTCCTGTACCTGTTTGTAAACTAGTGATGGTTAACCCCAGGGCTTGAGAGGTGGGAGGTCTTTTTATTTTTTTATTTTTTTTTAACATGTTGTAGACCATTGTAATTTATTCACCCGGTAAAAACACCTTTTTAAGTTCATTTGAAGTGTGATGATGCGTGGTAATAATGGCGGAAATCGTACAGGTTTTTTTATTAGAAAAAAATCAGTAATTGTAATTTTGTAAGTTGAGCAGTGGCCGCAAACAAACTATACATAATCAGTTAGTTATTCTCTGTAAATCGTATTGTTTTGGCAGTTAGTTGTCTTTTAAAATTTTTAACCAGTTTCTATCTTTAACCTACATTTACAGAGACACATTTCACATTATTGCTGTCTATTGAGTTACAGGAATTGCTGTCTATTGAGTTACAATTGCACTCTACCGGTATCTCAAAACAGATGTAAATATCTAGGCATAACCTTTCGCATTGAGACTTATACCAGATACAAGAAAGGAAAAAAAAAACAGAAAAATATCAAAAGCAACATTTAAAATCTTGTTCATCCGATGACCTTTGTTCCTGGGTGAAGCAGTAACTGAAATTCACTGTAAAGGAAACAAAGGAAAGGCATTCATGACATTTTAAAGGCATTACTAGTTACATTGTGCTGTGTGTGTCTGTGGTAAAAAAAAAAAATCTATATATATTTAGTCCATGGCACTTCTCTCTTTTTCCTCGGCATTTTCTGTTCATGACTCTAAGCAGATTTGAAAATATCTAATTTTGTTTTAATTCATTCAAAATCAATGTTTAGGCATATCTTTCTAGTGATTTATTTATCATTTTCTCAGTTTGGATGTGGTGCTGGAGTGACCTGGTGTGCCATCTTTGAATGAGTGGTATTTATTTGAGCTGTGTAAAAGTGTTTAGTAGTATTATCTGAGAAAGGTGGAACGCTGACCTGTTCGGTGTATATACTAGCTCCGGTCCTAAATAAGCATTTGTACACCTTCTTTTATGCCACTTAGAAACAAATAAAAACAAAGAATGCTGCCAACTTGAAATGCCTAAAGAATGTTATGAAGATAATAAATATTTCTGTATTGAGAGAAACTGAATTTAAAAAAGTTATCGTATATAAGGTTTCGAGTGTACGTTTTTATTATCTGTTTGTATTATCAACTGTGTCTATGAATGGGAATCTGGAGCATGTATAATTGGCAAAAAGTGTTGAATAGTACCACAAGACACACATCACTATTGCTTAAGAGCTTTGATTGCTGTGTGTGATGATGAATATCGTACTCTGAACTGAAGCCGTCTGTTAGATGGCTCTTGTAGCTGTCCTAATGCAAAGGAAACACCAGAGGGCGCGTCTCTTACAGCAGCAGCCTCTCAGCCACACTCTTGTTCCATTTCCGCACCAAGATCAGGCTGTAGTATGTGCAGGTTTTTGTTCCAGCCCAGTGCTATTTGATTGAAAATAATAATTTGAATGGACAGCCTGGTCTCATAGACTAGACATAGCATAGTAAATGTAAATCTAGGACCCTTAAATTAGTAGGCCTATGTTACGTATGGTTACTTAAGACAGAAGGTTACTTAAGGCAAAAATGAAAGTAGGGTGTTTGGTCAGGGTGGATGGGTGTGCATATAATGTGAATGTCTAGCAACCCAAAGGTTGCGTGTTTGAATCTCATCACGCACAACTTTAGCATTTTAGCTAATTAGAAAATGTGCAACTACTTAGCATATTAGCTAATCTTAACCCTTTAACCTGACTCCCAACCTTAACCCTAACCCCTAGCTTAAGGGTTAAGTGTTATTGAAGTGTTTTGGTTGCAGGTTCACCTGCCTCATCAAAAGCCTATTATTTTAGGGTGTTGCTATAGGCCACCAAGTGCTAACAGTCACTGAACAAAAATATAAACGCAACATGTAATGTGTTGGTTTCATGAGCTGAAATAAAAGATCCCAGAAATGTTCCATATGCACAAAAAGCTTATTTCTCTCTGTTAGTGAACATTTCTCCATTGCCAAAATAATCCATCCACCTGACAGGTGTGGCATATCAAGAAGCTGATTAAACAGCATGATCATTACACAGGTGCACCTTGTCCTGGGGACAATAAAAGGCTACTCTAAAATGTGACGTTTTGTCACAAAACACAATGCCACAGATGTCTCAAGTTTGAGGGAGCATGCAATTCGCATGCTGACAGCAAGAATGTCCACCAGAGCTGCTGCCAGAGAATGTAATGTTAATGTCCCTACCATTTCTCTATCATTTTAGAGAATTTGGCAGTACGTCCAACTGGCCTCACAACCGCAGACCACGTGTATAGCGTTGTGTTGGCGAGCGGTTTGCTGATGTCAACGTTGTGAACAGAGTGCCCTATGGTGGCGGTGGTGTTATGGTGTGGGCAGGCATAAGCTACGGACAACCAACACAATTGCATTTTATAAATGGCAATTTGAATGCACAGAGATACCGTGACGAGATCCTGAGGCCCATTGTCGTGCAATTCATCCACCGCCATCACCTCATGTTTCAACATTATAATGCACGGCCCCGTGTCACAAGGATCTGTACACAATTCCTGGAATCTGAAAATGTCTCAGTTCTTCCATGGCCTGCATACTCACCAGACATGTCACCTATTGAGCATGTTTGGGATGCTCTGGATCGACGGGTACGACAGCGTGTCCAGCAACTTTGCACAGCCATTGAAAAGGAGTGGGACAACATTCCACAGGCCACAATCAACAGCCTATGCGAAGGAGATGTGTTGCGCTACATGAGGCAAATGGTGGTCATACCAGATACTGACTGGTTTTCTGATCCACGCCCCTACTTAAAAAAAAAAAGGTATCCGTGACCAACAGATGCATATCTGTATTCCCAGTCGTGAAATCCATAGATTAGGGACTAATGAATATATATATAACTTTGTTCTAAAGCTGTATCCGTACCCATTGGATGCAGTGATGCGTGGCTATATCCAGGAAAGCCAAGGTTCCAAAAGTTGGGCCTAAAATAGGTGTATAAAAGATCATACAAAAGATTTTGCAGTGACTCTTATGTGGATGATGTTTAAAGTATGTGTTGGTCTGATGTGATTAATAAGGAGCATAAAGACTCTGCACTTGATGAATGTATGAAATTGCTTCTTCCAATTATTGAGAAACATTGAGAAACTGACTGTTAGAACTGTTAAGGCGCCATGGATTGATGAGGAATTGAAAAACTGTATGGTTGAAAGAGATGGGGCAAAAGGAGTGGCTAATAAGTCTGGCTGCACATCTGACTGGCTGACTTACTGCAAATTGAGAAATTATGTGACTAAACTCAACAAAAAGAAGAAGAAACTGTATTATGAAGCCAGGATCAATGACATAAAGAATGATGGGGGAAAAAACGTTGGAATACTTTAAATGAAATTATGGGCAGAAAGACAAATTCAACTCCACCTTTCATCAAATCAGATGGCTTATTCATCACAAAACCATTTGATGTTGCCAATTATTTTAATGATTACTTAATTGGCAAAGCCAGCAAACTTAGGCAGGAAATGCATACAAAAACATATAATGAAAGAAAAGCATTGTAAGTTTTCATTTTGTAAAGTTCGTGTGGGAAAGGTGGAAAATTATTGTTATCGAACAATAATGACAAACCTCCTGGCATTGACAACTTAGATGGAAAGTTACTGAGGATGGTAGCTGACTCTATAGCCACTCCTATCTGTCATATATTTCATCTGAGCTTAGAGGAAGGTGTTTGTCCTCAGGCCTGGAGGGAGGCCAAAGTCATTCCGCTACCAAAGAATGCTAAAGCGGCCTTTACTGGTTCTAACAGCCGAACTATCAGCTTGCTGCCAGCTCTTAGCAAACTGTAGGGAAAAAATGGTGTTTGACCAAATACAATGCTATTTCTTTGCAAAGAAATTAACAACAGAGAAGGGCACCCAACATGTACTGCACGGACACAAATGACAGATGGTTGTTTAAGAGATTGATAATAGGAAGATTGTGGGAGCTGTACTGTTAGATTTCAGCGCAGCCTTTGATATTATTGACCATAACCTGTTGTTGAAAAAACATACACTACCAGTCAAAAGTTTGGACACACCTACTCATTCAAGGGTTTTTGTTCATTTGACTATTTTTTACATTGTAGAATAATAGTGAAGACATCAAAACTATGAAATAACACATATGGAATCATGTAGTAACCAAAAAAGTGTTCAACAAATCAAAATATGTTTTATAATTGAGATTCTTCAAATAGCCACCCTTTGCCTTGATGACAGCTTTGCACACGCTTGGCATTCTCTCAACCAGCTTCATAAGGTAGTCT